GCCAGGGCTGGGTTTGAACCTGCCACCTCCAGCATATGGGGCTGGCGTCCTACTCCTTTGAGCCATAGGCACCTCCCAAAGAGCAAAAATTCTTCAATATGTTAACCTTCAACACACCTAAGCCAATTTCATTAAAACACAATTAACTCTTAACTTTTACAATAATCATGGACAAGAAGAGCATCCATAATTAAATTCCAGAAATAATTCTTTTATCTCACACCACCTCTTCCCCATTCCAGTTACTTTTGAGTCCATGCTCTCTCTCCAGAAGAAAATAAGGCTGGTGGTTGATGTTCCTTTTTCTAAACTTTACTTTGGAAAGGAAAAGCACAACAGTTTACAGTCCGGAGAACTCAGTGCTCAAAGAAACTGATACTATAGCTATGTAACTGGGTAAGACTGGTAATAAATTATCCAAAGCTAAGATTTCCAGCTTTTAAAAGCCCATAGTAATGATGCCTGGCTGGTCATAAGTCAAATTATCAAATGAATTAGTTCAAATGTATTATAGAGAGAAATATTTATGACAATTTTTAAATGAATGTGAAAAAATAATTAGAACTAAACATTACCTATAACAAATACTATTAGATTAATACTTTGGTATCAGTAACAATCACTTCAATTAGAGGAAAAATCACTTAACCTCCAATTTGACCTTAACCCAAGGCTGTTTTAAATCATACCCTTTTTTATCTTCCTCTTTTGTTGTCACTCAGTAATGTGCCACCAAGTAATAAATCGATGACAAGAAATGCACTACAAGGTAGCATTTTCATGGACTACTTTTTTCAAGACAACCTTCAGTGAATTCTCCAATTATGTGCCCACGATTTGGTCACACAAGATACTCATAGATTTTAATAAAGTGTCATGGCTAAAACATGTCACCCAGGAAATCCATCAGCCAAAAGCTAGGTGTACTGGTTCATGGAAACAGCTTAAGTAACAGGGTAAAGCAAGTGATCTAAACGTTACTATGTTAAAAAAAAGTTGTAAACCCTCCCACACCCAAACAATTTAGGAATTTACAAATAAGCTTCTAACATTACGTCGCAATCAAACCGCCACTGCCATCTTTACTCCTCCTAGAAGCTGTTTTTGACTAAAATATTCTATAGAATGGACTCTGTAAAAGGTCACGTAAGGTAGAATTATTTTATTACATCGCCCCACAACTACTGATTGGATTAAAATACTTCACAGCACACAGCTATTTACTATAAAGTGAAAGTGCGTTCCGTATTAGAAAACTTTTAAAGTACTGATCCTACAGGGGTAAGTCAGACTTTTTAAAAGATTTGTACTTTTATCCTACATATTTTTCTTTTACGTCAGATGGATCGGAATTTGACTAGCCCACCCCAACAGTACACCGGCCCAACACCCTCATACAGTAGCAAGAAGCCACGTTTTACTTGGGCAGACTGTTTCCCCTTCTCTTCTTAATACAATGCCTATGGCCACTTGAGACTTCTCCAGCCCAGCTCCAGAAACTCGCAGGTTTAAATGGCCAAATTGGAACCAACCCGGGCAGCTGTCATCTGAAACTCAGGAAAGCTGAGACCAGCCAACTCTGCTGAACGAGGAAGGGTGCGGAGAGATGTGGCGGGGGCCCGTCGGAGGGAACGCATTAGTCTCCCTCCCACCCCCATCAATTCGCTTTTCTGCAACCCCAGCGCCGCCATCCTGTTCCTGAATAATTAAACGGGCTGGAGACGGAGTGAGGGGGCCAGAAGGGCAGTCTCGGGTCCGAGTTCTCCGAGCCGAGCAGTGCGGTCGGAGAGGCCGAGGGCTAAATCCCTGTCGTGCAGAGGACTTTTCTCCGCGGCTGGGGAGGGAAAGGACGACCCCCGCGGCCGGCGAGGCAGCCGGAAGCCCAGCGCGAGGAGTGACGTGGAAGGGAGAACGACAAAGGGGTGCGGGGGCTCGGCCGCGCGGCCCGCGGGGGTCGGGACAGGTGGCCGGGCCTGGCCGGGAACAATGGGGGGCCGAGGCTGCCCCCTGGCGCTCACCTACCTCCGGTGCCCTCCGAGTTCTCGTTGAGGCTGCCTGAAGAGTCGTGCTGGGCGCCCACACACCCGCCCATGGGGGACCCCGGCGCCTTGTCCGCCGCCTCCAGGAGCTTGTCCGGGCCCGCCGCCGCCGCCTCAGCCTTCTCCGGCGCCACAGCCGAGCTCCGGACAGGCGCGCCGCTCCGCTTGCCCGCCGCGGCCCAGCCTCCGCCCCCCTCGCCGCTCCACCCACCGCCTTGGCTCGGCCCCTTCCTCCGCGCCCACTTCTACCTCAGCCCCCGGGCCGCCAGCCCGGCAGGCCTGGCCCGCGCGTCTCCCTCGCCTCCGGCTCGGCCCAGCCAAGCCGGGGCTGGCCCATCCCGGGCGGGCCGCAGCGTCCGCGTCGCCCCCTCACAACCCCGCACACCCGCTCCCAGGCGAGCCCCGCGCTGGCGCCGTCCGTCCGCCAGGCCCCATCGGCCCCCGCCCCGCGGCGCCGCCCTCCGTACCCGCGGCCAGAGCTCTGCCCGGCCCGCCCGGAACCTCCGGGGAGGGGCGGGGCCGCGGGAGGCTGCACTCTGATTGGCTGGGGGCGGGGCAGCGAGCGGTGCGGAGAAGGGAGGGTGTGCGGAGGAGGAGCGGGGAGGAGGGTCGAGCGGGGAGGAAGGGAGCTGAGGGGAGAGGGAGCGAGGGATGGGAGGAGAGAAGAAAGGACGGGGAGAAGGAAGGGAAACCAGGAAAAGAGGAACGAAAGTGAGAAAAGAGACGTGGGGAGGGAACGAAACCGAGTTTCTCGCTCCTTCTTGGCCGTCAGCTTTCTTTCTGGTGGAAGCGGGTCGCAAGGGGGCACCGAGAAGTAGTAATGGAAGACTCACAGGCGGGGCCGGGGCGGCGTCCCAAATAATTGGGGGACTTGGAGAGGAGTCCTGGCTGAACGCTGAGGTGCTAGCACCTTTTGGATTTGGGTACTCAAAAGTCTGGGGTGCCCTTCTCCTGCCCTACCCTATTGCACCTAAAATCACTGTCCCCCGTAGGGTGGAGACATTGTGGTTTTAAGAGAGACTCAGATTAGAGAGGCATCCCGTGGAGGGAGAGAGAAGAGCTGACCACTGTTCAGGGGGCGTGGGTGTAATTTTTCACAAGATTGATTATTCAAACAGTGCTACTTCTCAAGATCCTGCCTTTCAGTAAATCACCTTCAGAACAAAGTGAAAACATAAATGAAATAGCCTGCTTTTTCTAATCTAGTATTTGGTACATCGACCACACCCAACATTCTTGGCGGTTACTTTCCCAATCTCAGCCAAATTGTTAAGGTCCCTTCAGAATCATGCTTCTCGCTTATAATTCCTTAAATGTTTTACCGTCCTGCTCAGGCCTTCTAAAGCTTGTTTCTGCCTAACAGCTGTTTTAACTATCTGCACCATTTTTATATCAGACTCTTTTTTTAACATCCTGGGTCAGCTTTTGCTTAGCATTAAAAAAAATTTTTTTTAAGTGAAATACCTAAGAAAGAGACGCTCTGCAGTTTGGGATTTGCATTTAAATATATTCTCATACTGCTGGTGGGAGTGTAAATTGGTTCAATCTTTTGCAAAGCAATTTGGCAATGCAGATCAAGAGCCTTAAAGATGTTCCTACCCTTTGACTCAGGATTATTCCACATCTGGGAATCTAGCTCACAGAAACAGTCCAAAATACAAAAATCTAGAGATAATCGAACACAAACAAACATTCTGTCCTTAAAGCCCAGAAATGTCGTGAGATGTAGAAGTCTACTATCCTAAACTTGTACTGAAGAATTAGCATTGTCCTCAGTTGTCCTATACATTCAAAGAGCTTATATACAATTGATGTTTTTATGAGTTTTCAGAGGTTGCTGTGACATCAGAGGCCATGTCACAAAGCCTTCTATGTGATCATTCTCAGCTGAGTATTCACGTTGGCAGATGAACATCACTTTCTCATTTCTCTGAAGGAGAGAAGCTGCATGCTGAATATTTGCAAAGAGATTGCTTTGTCCTGAATTTCTGCTCTAGAAATTGCAGAAACCAAGACTTCTACAGTGTCTCTTAAACAGATGGTAGGCACCCAAATGATGAGGCCTTTCTGAAGAACACTGTAGAGTTGGTACTAGAAAGAGAGAGCAATCTCATGGAGAAATTCTCAGCAGTGGGTGCCCTCTGTTCTGCCTTAATCTTAGAGCAGACCTGGAGGCACAACAATGTAGCAGTAGGCCCCAGGTAAGTTGTTAACTTCCTGGATTCAAATCTGGCTTCCATTCTGTACCAGCTATATGACCTTAAATTTTCTACAGTTCAGTTTTATCACCCGTAAACTAGTGTCAATAATAATGCCCCAAGCTCTGTGGGAACTCTAAACTATTTGTCTAGCATCACCTATCTAAACTTACTGCATAACACTTTCTATAGAAACAATTCCTTCCTATGGAATGTGGTTTTCTATTGTTTTATATCTTAAAGGAAATATTCGTATACCATATATTTCACCCATTTATTTATTTATTTATTGTAGAGACAGAGTCTCACTTTATCGCCCTTGGTAGAGTACCGTGGGGACACAGCTCACAGCAACCTCCAACTCCTGGGCTTAGGCAATTCTCTTGCCTCAGTCTCCTGAGTAGCTGGGACCACAGGCACCTGCCACAACGCCTGGCTATTTTTTTGTTGCAGTTCAGCCAGGGCCGGGTTTGAACCCACCACCCTCTGTATATGGGGCTGGTGCCCTACCCACTGAGCACAGGCGCCACCCACCGATTTATTTTTAATTGACAAATAATCCTTGTATATACTTAGGGGTACAATGTTTTGATATATGTTTACAATGTGGAATAATGAAACAAGGCTAATGAACAAATTCATCACATACTTATTTTTTTGTGTGATAAAAACATTTAAAATCTACTCTTGGCTCGGTGCCTGTGGCTCAAGCAGCTAAGGCACCAGCCACATACACCTGAACTGGAGGGGTTGAATCCAACTTAGGCCCGCCAAACAACAATAACAGCTGCAACAAAAAATAGCCAGGCGTTGTGATAAGCGCCTGTAGCCCCAGCTACTTGGGAGGCGGAGGCAAGAGAATCACTTGAGCCCAGGAGCTAGAGGTTGCTGTGAGCTATGACGCCACATTACTCTACCTACGGCGACAGCTTGAGGCTCTGTCTCAAAAATAAAATAAAATCTAGTCTGTCGGCTCGGTGCCTGTGGCTCAAGCGGCTAAGGCAACGGCCACATACACCTGAGCTGTTGGGTTCGAATCCAGCCCGGGCCTCCAAACAACAATGATGGCTGCAACCAAAAAATAGCCGGGTGTTGTGGCGGGC